CAGTGCTTTTCTTTGTAATTATGCTTGATATTAATAACTTACTAAACGAATAATTTATTATGAGACATTTTATGTAATCAGTTTGTGAGACATTTTATATAATCAGTATGAGAAACACTGTGTCATCTTACTTTTAAATCGAGTGCTGTTTTTTTACGTAAGACTTCTTGTTAATGCCTTTTCTGAGTAATGCTAGACGGGTAATGACTAACTAGGAAAAATTGATTGTTGCGTTTTCCGCATATCGATGTCGACATCGATCTGGCATGCAAACCCAAGTAAAACAGATAATCAAAATAATATCAATCTTATATCGTTTTTACCAAAAAATAACATAAATTTGATTAATTTTTGGTCAAATTGATATCATGTAACGTTAGATTGATATTATTTTGACTGTTTGTTTTACTTAGGAAGACGCGGGCATAACAATATATAAATATATAAACTTATCAGAGTTGGAAATGTTACTTCAAAAAGAGTAACGCGTTACTAATTTTAAAAAGTAACTCGTTACCGTTACTAAGAAACTAACTTATTTTTATGAAGTTACAACATTACGAATTAAATAGTTTTAATTGCATGCTATATATTAATAAGTCCACGTTAGTCTATTTCGAGTTTCTTAAAACTGCCTTCCACGCCAAATAAGTCGCTCGCCGATTTGCTCTTGCCGAGTCGTTTCGCTTCGTTCACACGCCCGTTTGCCTCGTCCATCAGAAACCACTCGCGATACTTTTCAATCTTCTTTACTTGAATCTCGGTCAGATCATACACAGAACCTGCCTTCCCGCCCACTTCATTCGGCAGCTCGTCCACCGGAACGTATTTAGATGCGCTTTCCAACGACGAGTGAAAACGTATCTAAGTAAATCAAAAAAGAGAGAAACATGTAAGTGAAATACGGGAATGAGAATCGATATCGATATAATTCGCGATTTCAAAGTTTTATATTATAAATTGCAAAGTTTTTGCCATGGGTGGACGAGTGGACACGCGAAAGTTGCCATGTTTATTCGTGAAAATAAAAGCACACAATGATTATCGTAAGTTATATTTTCTTGTATATGCATTGTATCAGAGTTGTAAAAATATTAATTAAATTTGCCTTAATTTAATTATTGATTTGTGTAAATAATTTCTAATTTAATTAATCGACGATTAATATAAGCCTATTCAATTAAAAATATTTTAATTAACCACTGACTTCAAGAAATATAATTAAAAACCATTCAATTAACGATTGATTTAAAGAAATTTAATTAAAAACTGTTGAATTAACGATTAAAACGAGCGAAGTAATTAAAGATTATTCGATAAACGATTGAACATAGTCAGTGTAATTAAAGGTTATTTAATTGACAATTGATATAAGCAATGTACAGGGACAATTGTCAATTAAATAACCCTTAATTACATTGACTATGTTCAATCGTTAATCGAATAATCTTTAATTACTTTTGCTCGTTTTAATCGTTAATTCAACAGTTTTTAATTAAATTCCTTCAAATCAATCGTTAATTAAATAATTTTTAATTAGATTTCTTGAAGTTAATGATTAATTAAAATATTTTTAATTGAATAGGCTTATATTAATCGTCAATTAAATTCGATAATTAATTAAGAAAGTAATTAATTACTCGCAGTTCTGCATTGTATAAGGTATTGCACTTGTCGAAATTATTGTATATAGTACTATTTTGTAAGACAAATTGTAGGCTCATCTGTAAACTGTGTTGTAAACAAATATTAAAAAGAAATTTCTAAATAGCGCTAGATTTTGTTAGATCTTTTGGAGAAGAGCTTTTGTGTCGCAAGAGCAAAGAACAAAAAACATTATTCAAGTTGTGCATTATTAAAAGAGGAATTCTTTCTTGAAAATACCATCTAACTATCACTAATAGTTATCGTTCTAAAAATAATTAAAATTGATCTCGATGAAAGTCGAGTTTGATCGTCACGGTCGTAGATATTCACCATTTCTATCATCTCCTTTTTCATAAAAGGCTTCATCATAGTCATAAGTATTTCCATGGCAGGTGGTGCGTTTATGAAATGGATTCCCTTCAAGCGTATCGGCGCCGCCTCTTGGATGTAATATAAGTATTTCTTCAGTTCCATTGGATTTATTCGCGCTAGATGACCGAAAGACAGCCCACTAGTATCGGCAAAATAGATGTATCCATTATTCGTACCCTCTGTTAAGATCCACAGGTCGAGCACCATTAAGAAATACTTAATGTTATCGTTGTAGACAAAGCGAGAAGTATCGGTATCCAGAAATGCACCATACATAATTTTGTAGCCTTCCTTCGTTGCACCATTTAAAGGGAGAGTAGCCCTTTTACGATCAAATAAATTTATTATTAAAAAACATCTCGCGACGTAGCAAACTGTAACAGCGTGAATATTGTAAGCATTTACGATCACGCTCTTGAAAAAACATTCGCAATTTATCACTAATATATATTTTCGGACTTTCTTTGTTCCATCTTCTTTATGTTAAAACGTATATTTTACATATATTAAAACTTTTTAACTCTTTCACTACTATAAAAACATGTGTGTCGCAGGAAAATTCTGATAGGACCTTATATTCACGATGGTATAAGCTCATGAGCGATTTCTCTATCCATTAAAAATTAGATAATTTAACTGTAGTTACGCAAAAATAATTCACAACTCACATGAAGTATATTTTGTAAAAAATGAAGATAAAAATGTCATGCATGATTTAAAAAATATAGACAGCACTGGGCCGTATTCTTGACATTTTTGCGTATACGTAAGTTTCATTGCGCAGCTATTTTGTGACATGATTATACCTGCGCAAAGGAACTTACGTATACGCAAAATTTTCAAGAATATAAGCCCTGAGATTTTTCGCAATCGTTCGAGATGAGATTAATTATTATGCTGGTATGATGTCTAAATAATGGCAAACTAATAAATACATAATAAACTAAATAAATACATTAATTTCTCTAATATATAAGTGACTATTAAAAACTGAAATGCTTTTAATCATTAAGAAATATGAAAGTGTTATACTGGCCATTGTATTTGCATGAACATATACAAAAATCATGCCACTAATATCAATAGTTGTACGACTCTCACGTAATTTTGAAGGCTTGTCGCAGACCCTTCTCTCCTAGCGGATCTCGATTACAAAAGAATTCTGGAACGTGTGTCCTGGTCGTATAATAATTTTCGATGGTGTTCTTCGCCGATTCCATTCGATAATAATTGCTATGAAGGCACATTGCGAGCAAGACATTATCGATCTTTGGCAAATGTGGTTGTTTTTCGCACCACTCTCTCAGTGATTGTATGTCTGACAGCTTCAATTCAGGATTCTTCCTCATCTCTTCTTCCAATGTGACAATTTTCAACATGATCGAAACGTCCTCTTCGTGTTGTAGCGTACTTTTCTGTGAACACGTGTCATTTGTACGTTATTTTATGTCACCGTGTAGTCACTGTTCAAAGTTTAATTATTATAATTATCAGGCGAATCTTTCCTACAAAAACGACTTGTCGTTTTGTAGGAAACATTTCGCGAAATATAACGCTACAAATAATAAATGCCGAATCGAATTGCCAGTCATTATTTTCTACAAAAACGACTTGTCGTTTTTATAGGAAAGATATATATTTTGCGAAATGTATGTGCGATGAAGATATGTTAGGAGAATTCCAATTTTCCACACTTCCAAAATTTTGACCTTTCTTTCATCTTTCTTTTACTTTTATCAAGTTAAAGAAGAAGAGACACAAAATGCGAACCTAAAACAAATGCAATTAATTTGTTAAACATTCTTGGCTTACTGTGAATTACATTTGTCTTCGATTTTGATGTATTTAGCGATTTCTCTATCAATTAAAGATTAGATAATTTGGCTATAGTTATGCAAAAATAATTCACAATAACTTACATGAAGTATGTTTTGTAAAAAATGAAGATAAAAAGATCATGCATGATAAAAAATATAGATAGCACGGAGGTTTTTCGCAATCATTCGAGATCTCAAGTATGGTCAATTTTTTCCTTTTTAAAAATATTCACACATATTGACAAGTTTGACTTTTAAAAGAAAATAGGTGAAAAGACGTAATTAGTAAGAAATGGCGCAACTAGCAGAAAAAGTTTTTAATGAATTTCAGGCACCTATAAGGTTTGGATTTTTTGCTTTATGTAGAAAAAACGTATAGAATACTAGTTGATAAAAAAAAAACTTAAAGCTTACAATATTGTAAGTTGCATAACAATTATTTAATCGTTTATTTTTTAGTGATAAGTGAGCTATCAAGTATCATAAAAATACCTATTCAAACATGTTTTTTTATATGTTAAAGAAAAAAAGCCTCTTATTTAAGACAGACTGTAATCTTTAACTAATTTAGAATAAGATAAAGTCGCGTTGCAAGATTAGCAATTTGATTCGTGTTATTCCTGCTCTTTTTTTGCATTAAAGTCTATCAATTAATTTGTCAATATTAGTCAAATTTCTCATATTACATTTATCGTCAGGTTCTGACTACTTATACATTTAAGAATCAACGCGATTCGATTATTATTCAACATTAAATATTAATATAATTACCTTATTAAGAAATATTTTGTTCGAATCTCTCTCTTGTTCGAGTTTCTAACGCGACTTTTCTTTCTTTTTTTTTTGATTTTTTTTCTAGTCGAAGTTAGGAAGGCCGTTTCGCGCACGCAATACAGATAACCGACGGACACTGTTGGACATACTTTTTTACTCCAAGCGCACGAGAACCTGATCTATGTTATAAACCAATTGTAATTCGAGTGGCGTGCGTAAAATTATGTGTTGCGATAACTTCTGCGTGCAACTTCTGCGGGCATTACGCGATCCGCCAAGTGGGCGCCAAGGTTAGTGGCGTATCTTTACAGCACAAACAATCGCGAGAAAATATTTAATTAAATTTAATTAAGTTCCAACGTACAAGGTTAATAAGAAGCACCGTCGGAGTATGGCTTATTTATGTAACAATTATTATTGGTAATAACATAGTTTTATATACACGCATGCTAACCGCGTGGCTAAATTAATATTTACATTACAAAAACATAATTGAGTCTAGCTAACATAGTCTTTTTTCCTAACTTAGTCTTCATGCAGATCATCGTAAAATTTGCGTGAATAGTCTGTTAAAAAACGGCATCAAACGGCATGTGTCACTTCGTGCCGACTAATCTATCTCGAGCTTTTTGAAGCTACCATCCATGCCGAATAAGCCATCGCCGCCTTGGAATTTGCTAACTCGCAGGGATTCGTTCACCCGTTCGACTCTCTCATCGTGTAGAAACCATGCCCGAAACTCCTCAAGTAATTTAATATGCTTATTAATCAAATCCTTGATAGGTCCTGCTTGCCCACCAATTTCATTCGGTAAGGCCTCAACGGGGATATGTTTTCTCGCGCTCTCTATATTCGGATGGAAATATATCTAGAAATAAAAAGGTCATGTTTAAACCTGTTTGAATAGACAGAGGAATATTAGCGCGTCGTTGTGACTTACAAAGCTCAACAGTTCCGCTTTCACGAAAGGTTTGACCATATTCAGCAACGTTTCCGCAGCAGGTATGGCGTTTAACACATGGATGGCCTTTAACCTAACCGGAGCAGCCTCTTGTATGAAGAACATGATCTTCTTCAGACTCATCAGGTTCATGCGGGCAATATGGCCTAAGGTGAAGCCCGTCGCGTCGAGAATAATGACCAGACCGCAGCTGGTACCTTCTATCACATTTTGCACTTCGCATGTCATAAAGAGGTACTTGAGACACTCATTGAAGTTGAATTGATTCGGACTTGGATTCAGAAACTTGCCGAACGTCATTATGTAATCCTCCTTGGTTCTTTCCTTCAACGGCAACATTGTCCTATTAACGGGAAGGAGTGTCTCGTTATATTTCGACCGGAATTTTTCAATATGACGACCGGTTCTCTCGGTCAACAACTGAATAAAATAACCCACATAACGGTAAAGGTTTTACGCAGTTCCTTCCACGCGACTGGATCCCTGTTCGAGAACACTTCTGGCATGTGCGTCCTCACGGTGAAAAAATTCTCTATCGTAGTTTTGGTTGGCTCTATGCGATAGTAATTGCAGTGCAGAAATATGATGAGATAAAATATGGGTATATCCGGCAGATGCGGCTGCTTGTCCATCCAATCCTTCAACATCTGTAGATCCGATACCTTCAGCTCCGGATTCCGTTTACACTCCTCCTCCACGCCGACATATTGAACCGGCATCACGTGTTCCGTCATCGTTGCAGAATTTAAATTTGTTTCCCTATAAATTTAAACAACTTATTTTTTTAGCCACAGGCACGTATTATAGACACGTGTCATAGACACAGAGAAATAAGAAAGGAAAATAATACGGATATCTACGTGTGGAAAAATGTCGTTATCATTGTGGTTTACCTTGGCTCAAAAATACCTGGGAATTTAATCAGTGAACCGTGTTTACTGTATTTTATTATGCGATATTTGTCCATATCTTTTTCAGAAGGTGAAAAACACGATTATTAATGATAATGCAACAACAAGTTGATATGATAACACAAATAACAAAAAAAATATACAACTATATCAATCGTCTCTGCTGTTATCGCGATTAATACTCTTCAAAAATTACAATTGAACATAAGTTCAAGCAAGATTAAACACCGATAGCTTACATGTATACTTATTTTTTCGTAAATCATTGTAACTGTATGGAATATTCTAGTTTAACCGATTCACGCGTTTCTCTCTCCCTCTTTCAGTTTTTAATTGTATAAGAATCAACAATACAATTTTTAATTGTTATTTGTAATTGTTAAGTTGTAAGTTATGTGATCCTAGAATCACTCGTTCTATGATTAACTTTATCATTATTAATTTCTCTTACGTAAACAGTTTCACGTAGCTTTCTCCACAACTGCTGTTCAGTATATAAGTTCCAGTTCACTTTCTCCACAAATTTAGTGTATGTAACTGCTGATTCCTTCGAGAATTTAAATATTAGTTTTATTTAAAGAAAAAATCACATTGTATTTGACAATATTTCTCAAAGGCTTTCTTACACATGTGAATTTATCTTGTAAACATCTCACATATTCGACGCAGCACAAAATATCGTTACCGCACACGAAATCAATCGCTTGAGTACTGATTTCTACAGAAGAATGTTGGAGCGCTGGAAACGTCGAGAAAGCTGCAGGTCGTTGCAGTGACTACTACGAAAGGTTGCGCGAGACTAATGTTCAAGGCGTGCAATTATCGATGAGAATTAAATTAATAAGTTTTTTATACATTACGTCAATGATAATAGATGCAAGATCGCACAAGAAATCATCTCAACAATACATTATTGGATTAATGTATTTTCTTTACAAAGTATGCAAATACGTAGTTATCGACGTTTAACTTGCTTAATTTTTCAAAAATATTGTTGTGAAGCATTGTAATTGTGGTGTGTTCGGATAGTAATGCATGAATATGCTAGAATATCAAAAGATGCCATCTTGCCGGTGACATCAGTAGTTGGATCTATACAAATTATGTTTAATTGACATAGGAAAATACCTAGGAAAAAAAATTAGTTTCACTTCAATGTTTCCCTTGAAGCACTCCACGAGATACTGCAACCGATTTGATGGATTTCGATAAATATAAATCACAATGACGGGAGAGACGATTTATTAAAATTCTCTATCTTTCGAGTGCTCGTGTTATACTATATCATATCAACTTGCTATCGTCGCATTATCGCAAACAATTGTATTATCTATATTTTTTTATATTTAGTTCTTTCTTTTTCCTTCTAGACACGTTACTTTAATTCTTTTTGAGGTGCTATATTTATCTAAGGGATGTTATTCTAAATTACAAACAAAAATTGCTTTTAACAAAATGACGTCATTGTGTTATGTCTGATTTAGTATAAACTTTCCTTTCCCCCCCCCCTCTCTCTCTCTCTGCCCCCTCTTTCTTCCGTGCCTTTCCTTTAGGCTCTCACGAGTTTGTCCCCATAAACCGCTTTCGGTAGACTTTTTCTTATTTTTCAGTTCGCTGACGCTCTTCAAGGACTTGGATCGTTACTATTATCATCTTTGCTCTCTTCCGTTTATTAGACCTTGAATCACAACATTCTACAGGTTTCAAAGTGGATTGCCTCTAAGTAGTCCTTCAAATGTCGTTTACATTTGTAATTTTAAATTCTATTCTTTCGGCCGTTTTTCCATCATAGCTATATTTTATTCTTAGTTGTTCAATAGTTCTATTTATTTTGTTCACATTCCTTATTATTTATCTATCAAAGTCTTTGGTGTATTCATCAATTTTCATATTTCGGATAACATGTCATATTTAAATGTCATATACATCCCATTTTTATCCTCTCCATTATGTTGTTTTACCGTTGATCGTCTGCCAAAGTCTGTACAATCGTATTCTCTCTTCTGTTTTTATAGTGTCATTGGATTTAGCAGTGTCATGAGATAATAAGGAAGTTTAAAGTTCAAGGATATAATGTCTCACTTATATAACATGTAGCTTACATGTAGCAACTATTATTTTACTTACGTATTCATAATACGATATGACATTGAAAATTCATGTGTTTGTCATGTTCTTAACCAATTTTTTTTGTTAAATACATATTAAACTCAGTTGCGTAATCATATATAATAATATATAATAATGAATAATATGAATAAATAATTCCTACCTTGAATTTACTACAGTACATTCGTATATTTCTCCGTCATAAACATCATCTATTATTAACATAACATCAATACTATAATTTCTCGTTCATTAATATGTAAGTGCAACATAACGCGTATGTTACGTTGGGAAATTATAACATTGATGTAATGACGTTGATATTTACTGGGTTTACTAAGTTTGTGTAAAACGTGACACTTCGTGTATGTTCTCGCAAAAAAAGATTGTCGAATGATTGTGCAATAAATGAATCATAAATCTCGGATTTTCGCTGCATTTTGTGTTTTCGTCAATTTGTAACGTTAAATAAACGTTTTTAAACACTATAACGTTAAATAAACACCAAGCTTTTGTTTATTGAATTACATATATATTGTGTAATATAAATTATATGTGTATGTGTTGAAAACCAGAATTTTATATTAAATAGATTTCAAACAATATTTTCGAATCTATTATTGATAGCACTCTGTGAAGAGATCGGACAAAGTCAATCGATTTCGAGTTTCTTGAAACTTCCTTCGACCCCGAAGAGATCCGTTGCCGATTTGCTCTCGCCTATTCTCATGGCCTCATTCACACGAGCCGTGGCCTCGTCTTTCAAAAACCACTCACGATGGTTTTCTATATTTTTCAGTTCTTCCATCTGCTGTTCTTTTATCGGTTTACTTTTTCCTCCGCAATCGCACGGAAGCGCTTCCAACGGTACGAACTTCGCTAGTGTATCGTTTGTGGTATGAATATGCAACTGGAAATATCGAGGAAATTTATACGAGATATCTTGTAGATATTGAAAAAATTTTGGCAGTAATACACAAAATAATACAATGATTTCGTCGGGAATTCAGATTCTTTGGCAAAAGTGTCGTTCTCAAGTTTTCGGCGAACAAGTTCCAAATGATACTTTCATGAGAAAAAATTCGTTTAAAGTCGAACGAATTGTTTGCAAATCCCCCGCGAATTTTGGATATAAATACATCTATATTCTCACCACGTCCATCAATTCCTTCTTCATAAATGGTTTCATCATCGCCAAAATGATATCCATAACCGCGTTGGTGTTGATAAAGTGCATACCCATGAGTCTAAGTGGTATAGCTTCTTGGAGGTAATAGAGATACTTCTTTATTTGCAATGGATTAAGGCGGGCGGCATGGCCAAAAGTGACTTTATCCATGTCAATGATGACCACGTGGCCTTTGGAGGTGCCCTCCTTGTACAGGCACAAATCAAAAACCATGTGGAAGTATTTCATGCAGTCATTGAAGTTGTAGTGCGAAGCTTCGTAATCTATTAGTCTCCCATAATAAATCGTGTATTCCTCCTTCGTTCGCATCTTCATTATTACCTGTGCCCTTTGCCAGATAGTTCAAGTGTTTATTAACTTGCGATCGAGTTGAGACATAACAGAATTAACACTTTAACGGAACAGAATTCATTCTTATTAACGCTGACCTCTCTTAAGGAGAGGAAATTGAAAAATCATGTAAAATTTATTATGTGCTATGTAACTTGATATTATAGTCGAATCTCTCTTAACATCAGAGATTAAGAGCGTGTATTTTCAATAATAACACATCCCAAAGTGCAGTGACAATTAATTGTTTACTTCTTTAATACGATGCAACACAAATTTTTGTTTTGGCAAACCGTCGCAACATTCTGTTGTCACCCAGTCAGAACCATAACATTGATTCAAAATTGATTTGACATCGAAATGACCGATAAGCCGTTGAATCAATATTGATTCAACTCTCATCGACGTCTAATCAACCTTGAATCAGCATGTATAATAGTTCTGACTCGGCAGATATTTACGATCGATATTTCAACATCATGTTGTATAAAAAACAAACACACGTGTTCGTACGTATGTATTACATTATGCTGTAATTAAAACTTGTTTGAAGAACCTTACGTGACTTTGAACGCCTCTCGCAACGTTTTTGTTCCGAGCGGATCTCTATCGCAGAAGAACTCCGGCAGATGAGTTCTGGATGTGTAATATGCTTCGATGGTGGTCTTCGTGGGTTCCATACGATAGTAATTGCTGTGCAGGAACAACGCGTACTGGAAGTCCGAGATCTTTGGCAGATGCGGTTGCTTCGCGCACCATTCCTTCAGGATCTGCACATCAGAATCCTTTAGCTCGGGATTTTTCTTCTTTTCCTTTTCATAGGACATTCTCGCGTCTGTAGACATAATATTCCAAATCTGTTCTCGATTGGGTAACAGTCGTTTAATATAACATTTATCTTTTTGAAAGGATATAAAACGATAATAAAAACGATGATTACATAAGAATTAACCTAAATTACAAATCTATATGAAGCGCTTAAGTAGAACATGTGAGTATGTAAGTACACGTGTCACATACATACAAGGTGATCCACTTAAATCAAACACTTTAAATATTTTTATTTTTGATGATACGGAAAAATAATTCAGATAAAAGTGGAAGTGTGAGACACATTTCGGTCACGTTGTTTTTTTTTCTAAGTGGAGGCGCTAAAAATGTCACCTTCACTTTTTTAAATGAAATTATGATTTTTTATTAATATTATTATAATTTTTTTATAAATATGATTCTTTTATATATTTTATGTATAAAAATACTAAGAAGTATAATTGTCGAAAAATCAATAGTTTACGAGATATTTTATACTTCATTCTGACAAAAAATTTAGTTAAGGAGATGTTCAAAATAATGTCCTTCTAGCGAAGACATTTTTCCGTATCATCAAAAATATTTAAAATTCGATTTAAATGGACCACCCTATATGCGTGTCAGGTGACTAGCTGCATTAGAAGAAAAAAAAGTAGAGTTAACTAAATTTGAAATTCACTTGTGAGTATGCAACATTGTTGTTGACAGCGACATTCGCAGAAGTGTGTTAAACGCTTCGATTCGGATCCTTTATTGTCGTGCAATTAAATTTTTAGAACGCAGGCACCGATATATATATATATATATATATATATATATATATATATATATAT